TCCACTGGTGAAGCTAGAGCACAGGCTGTGAAGCAGGGCAGAGGCAAGAAGAAAATAATTTTGGGTTTAAGTTAACTTTCAAAACAACTGCCTTAATTACAGTGAACTCCTGAAAACCTTTTCTTTCTGTATATTTTCAAATACTGAATATGAAATACTTTGTTTAGCTCTAGCACTTATTTGTGCTTAAAGTAATTTTTTGTGGGTTTTTTGTTAACTAAGACTCTCTTGGTTTTGTGGGTTTTTTTATTCCGATTCTCATGCTCTGTGTGTTTGACTTGGACCTTTATTTTTTACTCTGGTGTAATTCCCTTTATGCTAAAACAGGGGGGGGGGGGGGGGGGTGCAAACATCTGTTATGTAGTTCATGAAAACTGTTGAGGCTATGTGACTATTGTATAAATATGTATTGAACTCTGGTATTCAAATCGCACATACGAAAAGGTGATGGGAATCCTAAGGCAGATGTCATGCATTTCTTCACTCTTCAGCCTTCCAGGAATTCCTGTGAAGGAACTTGATGCCTGTATTGGAGGAGCAACAACAAACTTACTATACAGACCACCTAAGTTTTGTAGATAAGACACTTCTTTCAAACTGAATTTGCCCTTTTTTCTTTTCTCTCTCTCTTTTTTTTTTTTTTAATCTCTATGCTCTGTTTTGCAAACAGTTTCATTAACCCCATAGTCTACCTCAGTTGTCAAGTACCAGTACTGTCTAGGTTCTTATGTTCCAGCAGCAGAGCAGGCTGGGAGCTGTGAGTGCTGCCATGCATAGCAACAAATTACAGCCTCTCATCAATTCTGTGAAGGCATTTGCATTGTGGCTCAGGTAACTGCTTCTGAGGAATTACCAGTTAACCAGTATCTGCTTGTGTGGAGACATCGCTCAGCTGCTTCTGTGCATCTGGTAAATACTGCAGTTTACATAAAGATGGAAGTTGTCAGTACTGCTTAGCACTTGAGTTTGACTTTAATACTGCATTTTAACTGCAGTTCTTCTAATACTGATTCCCAGTTTACTAGCTATACCTGTTCTATATATGCTCATCTTGTTTCATTCTAATATAAATTAAATTATAAAGCAATTTTCTATTATTTCTGTACAAGCATTCTAAACTGTTAATGCTGTGAAGTTCCTGGCTTATACTGTTTTAAAACAATATTTTCAGAGGTTGAGTGGTAACTTTTAATTTTTCTACCTGTTCAGCTTTGGTTATTGTACAACAGAAATGCATGCGAGTACAAAACTTGCTGTAATACGCAACAAACTCATCAGCTGTAGTCTGTGAATGAAATAGGCAGAGTGGATTCTTGCAGTATTTCTTTAGGACGCTAGCTGTATTCTAAAGAGACCAATCACCATGTTTTAAAAGTTGTGCAATTTTGGACTCTTTATCGGGAGTGTGCATACTCCTCCAGTGAATTTTATATTTAAAAAAAAAAAGAAAAATAATTTTTACCTTGTTCAGACAAGACTGAGTTATATAATGTCCTTGTGTGATGGTCTACCAGTAGATAAACGCAGCATGTGTATCCATTTTTGCCTTTGGTGTTGACAACAAAGATATTCCAAAAAATGTTCTAGGGCTCTGATGTTCAGGAGGACTAAAGATAAACCGCTTATCTCGTGTAATACAGTGAATAAGGTTGCAACAACAGTTCTTGACTTACCATTTGAGGAGAGATGGAGGATGCTATGTAAAATCTAACTGTTGTTTATCGTGTGTAAAACCAAGAATTTGAAGCATTACTTAAAGATTTGGCATCGTTTAAGACATGTTCTGACTTTAAAACCAGATTTCATACAAACTACATATTGAATCCCTCTCATATGACAAGATTCCTATCTGAATTATTTTCACAGATGAGGATCTAGAATTTTCAAGCTAAACTTGGAATGCGTTACAGATTTTTCTAATTTGTGTTTAAGTTGCTGTATGTGATGTTTTTACAGTAATAGCAAACTATGTTAACCATAAATATTGTTAGTTACTTTCCCGACTTCCAGAAAACACAAAATGAAAATCTTTGCATATCTACTTAAATATTTTGGAGAGATGAGGATAAGTTACAAGGACTACTTAGAACCTTTCTCAGTTTCCCTCATCTTTAAAGGTATTTTGTTGCAATGACTGTCTTTATCTCGTGGGCAAAATAAGCAAGGTTACTTCAGTTCACTGGATTTGTCCAAACGTTTTGCTACAGGGAGAGTGTGGAATTTGGACGACTTCTCATGTCCTAATCCAGTACTGAGTCCTAGGTAGTAAGCCTATCTCGGCTAGATTCAGAATTGTCATCTCCTTTTTATGTGATCCAAAGATTCCCTAAGTGTTTCAGAACTGAAACTTAAAGCTGAAGTGTTTTTCCTTGAATTATTGAGATTGCCTTTCTGTCCTCTCTGCCATGGCACTAGTAGTGCTCTTCCACCCAGCCGATATGTTGCTTCAGAGTGCTGATCCACCCGAAAGCTGGTAGGTTCTTTCCTAGTTCAGTTTTTTGGTCAGACCAGCTCCCTTTGTGGAGCTTCAATAGTCATACGTGCACTAGGGCTGACATGAGAGAAGAGATGAAAAAGAGCAAAATGTGGCAACCCAATGGTTTAAGAAGCAGTACGACTGCATCCTTCTTTTCAGGTGATTGTCTTAAAGGCACACTTCAGGCAATCTGTTCACTTCCATACAGAGCAAATGATAAATCTGACCCTTTAAAGTCAGACTTTTCTCTTGTGTATTTGTTTGCAATGTAGTAGTGCCTGAAATAACCTGACATAACCTGAAATTGTTTATCAGAGGCAAACAATTACTGAGGGGGTGTTTATTTTTATCACTTAAGCCTGTTCTTTTTGAAATTAAGATTCTTTATTTATTTTTGACTTGGTTTCTTTACAATGAACTTTTCTAGAAAGCTGTTTGTATTCCTTTTCTGCTTTGAAGGAACAGTGTATGTTTCATGTAATTCAGTGTCCTCTTTCAAAGCATGTCTGCCACTTGTGTACCAAAGTGACCAGCATTTAATAAGTGGCTGTGGTCATAACTGAATATCTGTTGCCCCTTGATTGTGTGGCATTAGTACTGCTTAGGATCCATACACAAACTTATTGATTCTCTTGTGTGCTAGACTCATACAAAATTTAACAGATGGACCTTTTTAGGTTAACAATTTCCTACCTCCTCTCTGTTATCTGTGAAGAAACTTCTTTTTCCTGTCTGTATGCCTGCTGTATTACAGACCAGAAAGTAAAACCTGAGTTTATTATGAATGCTGTTGATTGACAGTGTATTTCTAAGGAATTAAATAACTTCAACCACTTGTAGAGCTTCCGTTTCAAGGCAAGTGCATAAATACTGTCATCTAATACGTTTTTCATTATGGAAAAACTTCAGGAGTGAAATCAAAACCTTGCTGAAATGATCTTGTAATGAAAATATTTATGCATCCCTATGATAGTATGTGTGAAATAGCCAACAATCTTCTGATGTGTTACAAAACAGAGGCTTTAGGTTCATACCTAGATTCTGTGCCACCTGCTTACCACACTTATAAATGGGCTGATTTGAGTCTTTTCCAGCTCTCAAATGGGAGTAATATATCATTTCTTATGCTTTTACTTACTATATTAAATCATTCTCTTAAAGTTTTGTTCCTGTGGTTTTGGGACCCTGGAGTGCAGATCATACATGCTATAACACAGGAGTGTAGGGAACCTAGCTCGGAACAGTTCCCTCTTCTGTGTTGCTGTGCCCCCTCCACTGCTGCTGGTCACTGGGTGTTGTGCTGTGAGCCACATTCACCCTGCCTGCAAGCTTTGTCCTCTGGCCCTCTTCCAGCTTTTGCAGCACTGCTCCAGTTTATAGAAGTCTGCAGCAAATACGCAAACAGCGCGAAAGCAGAGAGGCTTAGAATCAGGTCCTTCTCTGTATGTTTTTGTTCTTTTGAGGGGATTTGTTTCATCTTTAGGTTCCATCATGCATATAGAGCAAGTAATGCTATAAGATCTGTGTTTTTATAACGGGGTTGAAGGAGAGCTGGAGTACAGCTAAATAGAGGGTATGAATTTGGTATGTGGCTGAAAAAAATAAGATAATGAACTTGTTATCAAAGAATTATGAAGTTGAATTTATACCACGAGAAAACTAAATAGGTTAAGATTTTAGGGATAATTACAGAAGGCCTCTTGATCATGTAGAATAATGTCCCAAAACATCAAGTGGTATAATTACTAATTGGAACGTATCACTCTTAGTAGGTTTAATAATTAGTTATACCTCAGCATATAGTTTTGTGGCATGGTTTAGTGCATGAGAAGGTTGAATGATGTATCCAAAAACCATACTTGTGGCTTTGATATGCACGTGACTGGTGAAATTGTCCTCCGAGTAATGCGACTATATTATGGTGTTTAAGAGGACTGACAAACTTTGCAGGCATATGAATGAGTTCATCATCTCTTGACCCTAATAGCTACAGAAGATCTTAAGAATTTATTCTTAATAGATGTTTCAATTTTTTACTCAATGCTTATGTGAAATTGAGGTGCGATAGCATTGTAGGTATGCCTATAAGCTGAAGCTCACAGAACCTTTCTGTACAGTTGTGACACCACACACGCATTGTTTCTTTGGGTACAGTGAAACTGGTTTGACATTTTTAAACACCATTTAGATACTAACACTTAAAATAGCCAGCATGCCCAAAAAGGATGGGCAGGTAAAATACTATGTATAGAAAAATTGCGTCCTTTAAAACTTGTTTTAAGGGTATCTTTCCATGGGGGCAGGAATTGAACTGGTTTTAGAATTGGTGTATTATTTTCACAACTTTTAGGCAGTGTTCTTTAGAAGTATTTGTGCTTGGAGGTTAAATTTATTACTGTTTTCAGGGGAGGAGGTATGTTTTCTTAAATACGCTTCTTCCAATAAAGTTGGGAGATGGTCTTTTATGGGAAATTGGTTACATCAGTGTATTTTAAAAGTTAAACTTTTTTTCTCTGCAGGCACATCTGTAGAGACTTCTCCGGAGGAGCAGACAGCCTCTTGTGAAGGTAATTGTTTTTGTGTTCTGACAGTACGCAACGCAGCTCCATTAAATGTGATTTTTTAAAAAAATATTGCAAAGAATCTCCTTTTTAAAAATCTCTATGAACCTTTTCCAATCTTTATTCTCTTTATTCTCATACTACTATTGTAAGGCAGTGTGGTTATCTGTGGTTATTTACAATTTTATAGCCAGTCGAGCAAGGCACATGAAGACCAAGTGGTTTATTGAAGGTCATAAAGCTTGCATGAAGCAGAATTTTTAAAATTGAATTTGTGTATTAAATAGCATGGGCAAGTGCCCAAACATCTGAACTATCCTTTTATTAATTTAGTCACTCTGTTTTTCTTTGTTCTTGATACTATCGTGGTAAATGCGTATCCTTAATGATTCCTTTTTTCTTTTTTTTTTTTCCCCCCTAGGTTCAAATGCTGCTGTTAACATGGAAATTTCAGAATCTGTTGGTAAGATGGGAATTGTTCCATTTCACTATGATAGTACTATAAAATACTACTATAGTGCTTTTGCTGAATCGTTGCAAACAAAATTGAAGAATACCTTATTGAGCCTTTGTATTTTTGGTCCTTACTAATTTTCATTGTGTTTTTATACTTAGATTAGGAAAGAGGTAATTGAACACTAGTATGCATTGACAGGTGCAATTGGATTACTTGCACACTGAAAAAGCATCAGTGTTTTATTAAAAAATAATTTCATATTACAAAATAGTCCCATTAATATGTGTGATATGGTGATTAACAAAAAACGTTAAAGTGATCAGTAATATGAGCAATCAGAACATGGAAATTGTATCTTTCTCTTTGTATGACTTTTGAGAGAACTTAAACCACTATTCCTCTCCTTTTCTCTCTAAACATATGGTAGCAGGTGTCTGTGAATTCAGACCAGCATGATGGTCTGAGTGTATCTTCAGATTTGTTTTTTCCTTGTAAAATTGTTGCCTTGTTAAAACAGAAGCTTCTTAATCCCTGTGAATCATAGTTTTCTGACATCAGCACGCAAGCTAGTTTGAAAGCTCCCAGTAATAATCATTTCAGAAACAAGAAGCAGTTGCTGATTTTTATATAGGAAGACATTAACAGACTGGGTAGTTGAAGTCTTTTGATTGCATCTTTGGGGCAGGGGCTTTTCTCCATAGTCATTGGTTTTAATTTCATTATCTATTTGAATATATCTAACTGGTTAATTTTTAGTGGAAAATGGAGAGACAGAAATGTCCCCGGAAGAGTCATGGGACCACAAAGAAGAAACAAGTGAAGCAGAGCTAGGAGGTGGTCCTGCAGGGGATGCAGGGCCTTCTGAAGAAAGCGCTCAGGAAATGATGGAAGAGGAGGAGGAAATACCAAAACCGAAATCTGTTGTAGCACCGCCAGGTGCTCCTAAAAAAGAGCATGTAAATGTAGTATTCATTGGGCACGTAGGTAAGTTGTAAGTGAATGTGAAGTAGTTGGATCTTTGTGTTGTGTATTATCTAGAACTCGGAGGATTAGAAATTAATCCTGTTCTTTGTAGGGATGTATGTATTCGCCATGTCTTGAGGCTGATAGGAGCATTCATTCTAATGAAGCTGGTCTGGAAAAATTAAAAAAACTTAAAGAAGGTCTTTCAGGGGTAGAGTGCCAAGGATAGAGTGCCTGTGTTCTCTTGGACACAACAGTCTGTGTTCATGATTTCTCAAGTACCTGCTCTATTGAGTGCTTAAGTGACGTGTCTGTGTTAATGGTCCAAAGAACAAAATCGGAAAGCGGAGCTCCTTTTCTGCTTGTTTTAAATATTTTCGGAGGGTTCTTATTAATTTTTATTAAATTCAAAATACTAAAAATTGTAGAGCTATAAACAATAGACGAACATAATTCAGGGTTAAACGAAGCATTTATAGCAAAATGCCCCAATTGAATAGTTTCAACAAGCTTCAGAAAAATCTTAAGTGGTGTCAAAAGTACAGAAGAATTATTGAATCACAAGATTTACAGTAAATTCTGTATTTTCATTTGTATAGTCTCTTATCACCTTAAAAGTACTGTAACTTAGTCCTTGGGTAAATTCAGAATGGAGTCACACAAAGTAAAGAGGCAGTGGGCAGAGGTACATCCCAATATTGAAGAGCAGCCTACAGAAGTTAGGAACAAGGGAGAAAGGAAGCAGGGAATGGGCTTTTGCAAGAACTTCCCACACTCTTAACCCACACTTTTGCTGGATCACTGCTTGTTGGGGGGTGGGGGGGGGGGGGTGTTATGGATAATGCCAAGTTTATATGTATGAAAACAGAATTTTCAAAATCCAGTGTAATTGAATGGACAATGAATTATGGAAACAAGGGAAGCAGAGAGATGCTTCAAAAAACTTAATTACAATTAAAAATATATAACTTTGGAAATAAATTAGATTACCTTGTTCATAAATTTTTTTCTTCTTTTTCAAGGATTTTCTTTTAACTTGTGAATGACTTTTTTTTTTTAGATGCTGGCAAGTCAACTATTGGAGGACAAATAATGTAAGGAAGATCTTAAAATTTTAAAATTTGCTGTTCTTGTGAATTAAAAATACATTAAGTAAAATGAGTAATATTTTCTTTATGGCTTTAATCAGCATAGATTAATATTTTTATAATAAAATGTTGCTTTCCCTGTCAATTTAGTTACTTATTGTCTTTGGAATTTCTTAATTCCAGCAGATCTAATCTTACCGCTATAGGAGTTTCACTTACTTAATGGAAACAACTATGCAAAGGCATACATTATTAAATTAAAAAAAAAAAAGGATTCCTTTCTTAGAACGTGACTCTGTTCTTCTTTGTTATTTTAAAATGCTGTTTGAAACTGCTTTATACCCTTTGTTAAACTTCGTCCTTTTTGTGAAGATTTAAAATGCTGTTTGAAACTGCTTTATACCCTTTGTTAAACTTCGTCCTTTTTGTGAAGATTTAAAAAAAAATTATATCCTTATTGAAGATTTTAAAAAAAATTGAATATCCTTATTCCCTGGTGCTAACATTGTCAGGCATAATTTGATTTCAAAATGTGAAATTATAACAGTTAATCTTTTAAGTCTATTTTAGAAACAGTATCTAGAAACTGCAATATTTTTATGAGACAAAAGTAAATAAACGTAGCTAGATCTTACAGTTTCTAATAAACAAGAAATGGAAACCAGTACATGAAGAAATAAATACTATCCTGCTGATGCGAAGTATTTCTATGATTTTAAAATAATATTCTCAGCAAAAGTGGGAGGTCTTTGTCTTGGCATTTTCATCTTGTTTTGTTTTGACCAAATTGGAATGTTGGCATTGTCATGCTACATTTAACCTTGTAGTTCATACTAGAGCAAATTAGCATTTTATTGTCTGATGTGTCTGAGTATTCTCCTTGTACAAGGAGATGCCTATTCTTAACACTCCTACTGATGTGTTATGTTCCTAAAGCTTTTTGTGGTCTTTCATTTTTGCAGAATATCCCTTTGTTGTAAGAGGCGGGGGGGAATTGGGTGCTTGTACCAACTTTGTCATTAACCCTTTATTTACTGTTATAATCAGTTTTCCTTACAAACTAAGTAGATTACTGTTATTAGAAGATCAGGTAGAAATATCTGAGGGAAAAATATGAAAGTTTTAATATAATAACACTGTACACTACTCACTTCTTTTCATAACTAAAAGATCTCTCTTAAAATATCAGTTTCCTTGTTCTATCTATAAAGAATGAAACCAAAATTATTTTTCTTTACATTTCAGAAATGAGGGGTGTGTGTGAAAAATGTTCCTATCACAATTTTTACTTAATTTGGAAATATTGGACTAGTCTGAGAAACGGACTTAACAGATGTAGTTCCTTTTCAAAACTTGCCTCTGCAGAACATTTTACAATTAGGCTTAAAAAAAGACATTCCTCATACTTCTGCTAAAGTGGTACTGGTGTACTTTTACATATCAGATAATGCGGTGGCTTTTTGTAGAGAAAAAATTCCATTGCTGCTTGCATCAGGCTGTTCCAGTTTTTCAAAATAATCTGTAGGTATTGTATAAGTATTTAACTATTTGGAACTATGTTTCTACTTATGTAAAATTGCACTTTTTTTTTTTTTCTCCCCTTCTTAGGTATTTGACAGGAATGGTTGACAAAAGAACACTTGAAAAATATGAAAGAGAAGCTAAAGAAAAAAACAGAGAAACATGGTATGAACTTACTGGAGATAATGGCATGCTTTTCTCTTTGCACTGTGATGAAAATGGGAAACTGTTTTTTTAGTCTCTGTCCCTGTAGCACTGGCTTCCTGCTGGAATGGGTTTCGAGTGTGGGGGGAGGAATCTCTTTGTTTTCCTCCAGTACTTCTTTAACTAAAACTATACGGAACAGTGCAATTCACATTTGAACAGGTTTTGCTGCTCCGACGCTTTTGTAAACCTAGTTGGTAAAAAGGAATACAAGGCAGGCAGGCACTTTTCTCAGGCAGCTCTTGGGGTCATTCTATCTGTATGTCTTTCACCTGTAAACAGCAGAGAGATTAAAGCTGTCAGTTTGGCGGACATGAGGAGAGAGCGAGTGAATAGTTTTGGCTGTCACCTTATATCTCATTTTTATATGAATAAAAATAGGGTCCGCAGTTCTTAAGTTTCCTCCAGGCAAGATGCTGCTGCTGTCATGTGTGGATTTTTTGCAGGCTTCTTGTTTGTTTTGGGTTTTGTTGTTGTCTTTTGGTTGGTTTTTGGGTTTGTGTATATGTGTGTGTATATACAGCACATATAGCAGCCTGCTTTTTCCTTCAAACAACTCCTGGAAAACTGATTTTTCTTTTGGAAGCTTTCCGGTTTTGGCTGTGGTGGAGGAAAATAGGGGTTCAAAGGTCTCTGGAAAAGAAGCAGCTGAAGACTTCCTTAGGGGTAGAGCAGCAATGGAGCACTCAAGGGGTGGGCATTGACCTGAACTAATTGTATTATGTGTGAGAGAAGAAGATGAAAGGGTGACACACGTCCTTTTTATCAAGCAAGCATCATCCCCCTGTTGGGAGTTGACCATAGTAATAAATATTTCAGGACCTTCCTCAGAAACAGTGGACAGCTTGAAAAACAAATTTCCTCTTCCCCCCTCCTCTTTTAGAGAGTAAATTGCAGGAGGTGCCTCCTTGAATGCTATTTTTATTCTTTAAAATATGTCATGATATAGAACAAAGTATGATGTACCTCTGTGTCATTATCAAAGACCTTGTTAGCTTGCTTCATATGTTGAGTCTTGAAATTTGAGCAGTTTTACTTTGTGATTCAGAAAATTCTATACTATAGTGCAGAGTTGACATTTCAGTCAGAAATGCATCTTTCCCTAAAAAACCCTATGTGCAAAAAGGACTTCCCATCCAGCTACCATGCATAAATTCCTGCTTGACTTCTGTTAGCTGAGTAAAACCTGACCTTTGGCTTGACTGAAATCTTCCAGAAACACAGGCTGTGGTGAAGATTACAACATACAGGAGCATGCATACTGGTACAAACCAAAAGCCATCTAGCATGCTGTCTAGACCTCTATCAGTGGCAAATAGCTACTGCCTGGGGAAGACTGTGATTGTATATCCATAATTCCCAATGTTTACTGCTTTCTCTGACTCAGGAACCTCTTGAGCTGGAAAGGACATCTTTGTGTTTAATAGTCCCTGATGCTCCCTCCCTGATCACTGGTCAGCTGAGCTAGCAGCGTCTCTTCAGACATTATCCAGTTAATACAAAAGACAAGCTAAAGATCTTTACTAGCTGCTGTTAATGGTGAAAAATATTGGTACACTAAGCCAGTTCAATTTAGTTATTACTACTTTTCTTCTCCTTACTGAGAATATTAATTTTTTTCTCCTTTCTAGTCACCAATTTTCACAAAACCTGAAGGAGCTAATCCTCTTTTTTGAAATTTCAGTTCATCTGTCTAACTTAAATCTAACTTGTTTGTCAATGGCCAATGGGATAAAATATAATTAGGAGGAGACAACAGTTGATATGATCAAAGTATCAAAGATAAGGTGAATAAAGGTGGTGTCTATTTCATAGCCAACTTCTGTTTAATATGTGCAAATAAATGAGAACTAATAATAATAGTTCTCATGATGCACATATGTGCAAATCAGAACTAATTTTTTAGTTAATTATGCTGAGAAAGAGGAATCGTTTTGTATTTGGTCCAGAGGTGTTTTTCAAACTGAGGCAAAGCTTAAAAGTATTTGAAGTTAGAGCATACCTGGAGAACTTAGTAATTGAAAATTGTTTTTTAGAATTGCATCCTTCTAGGTGTGTGAGGGAGAGCTAGCACTGGGCACTACAGCTCACTATATATACACAAAACATTCAATAAAAAGTCACTATTGGTCTTGGAAATGCTTAAGTTCAGTAATGCTGAGGCGGTTAGAAGAGCAGAAAAAAAAGACATGATGAACAAATCATCATATATAAATTTAGTAAAAATTAATATAAAAATAGAATATTTGGGTGGTTTGGTTTTTTTTAGGTACCTTTCATGGGCCTTAGACACAAACCAAGAAGAACGAGACAAAGGTAAAACAGTAGAAGTGGGTCGTGCCTATTTTGAAACTGAGAAGAAACACTTCACTATTCTAGATGCTCCTGGACATAAGAGCTTTGTTCCAAATATGATTGGTGGGGCTTCTCAAGCTGATCTTGCTGTGCTGGTAAGGACAAATCAGATTTTTATTTTGGATATACCATGGAATTAAACTTTTGATTTTTATTTTTTTGTTTGCTTGTTTACTCTTTCGGTTACTTACAGTGGGCAAAATTTTCAAATCTTAAGTCTACCAAGTTGAGTGGTTTTTGGAGTAACTTAACAGCTTCATAAAATTGTCCACAGGTGTCATGTGATTTTTATATATGTCAGTGCAGAAACTAATGGGTAATATTGAGGATATACCAGTGCATTTTGAAAGCTTTTACCAGTTTTGACTACCCAAAGTTATTTCTTGAATTAACGCAGTATTACCCGTTGTCGATTGTTCTGTTGAGAGAACTGTAGAACTTTTATTAAAATGTGTATTTTTAATTAGGTTATTTCTGCAAGAAAAGGAGAGTTTGAAACTGGATTTGAGAAAGGTGGACAAACAAGAGAACATGCCATGTTAGCAAAAACAGCGGGTGTAAAACATTTAATAGTTCTTATTAATAAAATGGATGATCCAACTGTAAACTGGAGTAATGAAAGGTGAGTTCAATATTAAAAAAAAAAAATCTTCATGAAAAGATACTGAAATAAAATTATTCCTTAGTAATTTTTTGCATCTCATTTTTGCTGAAAGAATGGTAGACTGGTGGACTAAAGACAGAGGTTGTCAAAATTGCAGGAAAAACAGAAGCATAGTGCCTAGGACCGTGCCTCTCAACTAAGCTTGAAGTTCTACACTACTTTAAAACATTCGCTTTCAACTGTTTGGATCTGTGCAGCCATATCTAACAAATCCATGCATTCTAACATAGTGTAATTGTTTACTTGGAAACTTTATACTGAACCTAAAAGGAAGCAACTCTGTTTTCAGTAGTTTAGTTTGCCAGATTCTTGATTGCTTGGCCACGTTTCTGCTAAACTCCTAGCTTAGATTTGGTGAGAACAGTGTTATGCTGTTCACCTTATGTGTCCACCCCGTATTATCTGGATTTGTTCTTTTATGATAAGCTGAATTGAACAAGCAAATAATATATTAAAGTGGTTCGTGATTACAGTCTGAGAGGGGGGAGGGAATCTTGCGATGATACAGGCTACGTAAAAAATAACTAGAAAATCAATATGTAATATTTAAATAACTAGTAAAAAGGACTAAGTTATTCTTTTCTGCCTTAACACTCAAATGTTACTAAAGGGGTTTAATTTTTCTAAGTGTCAAAACTTAGGTCTTTTTATGGCTTCTGTTACATCACCCCTTCAAGCTGGATGCTAAAAAGTGTAACTTAGTCCTTCCCTAGAGATACTTGTGTAATGACGGGATACGGCTTTCTTCTACAGTGTGATAAGAAGAGTTGTCAGAGAACTTGCTGTGCTGTCAAGAATGGTGAAAGTTTTTGTGGAAAGCTATGAGGGACTATGCAACCTTACAACATCAGCCTAGTTTACTAAGAGAATAAGGCATGCCCAATTGTGCTGTCTTGGTCCTGCCCCAACCTTCTGACGTTATTGAATTCAGCTGAGGGGAAGAAGTGTAATAGAAATGAATAACATTGTCTTAGGAAATTATGTAGGAGATTGGAGGAGACCGAGCCACCACTAAAGTGAAAGCCTGCAGCATGACCTCAGTAGCTGTCTGCTTGGTCTGTCCTGCTATCTTGGCCTGGATCTCTTGCTTAAAAGCCGATACAGCATATGCTGCTGCTTACCTGGCCCAGTAATTGAGGTATATGGAGAAAAATAATGATGCTTTATGGAGCAGAGGAATGAGGGGGAATAGACGATACCAAGTTGTGCTGGAAGATTGTGGAGAAGATGCAAATAGGTCACTAAGCTTTATTAGGTTTGCTTGCTGCTCACAGAATACCTTAACTGATGAAAATTAAATGTCTCTGGTTTTTTGGTTTTTTTTAAGCACAGTATTATGTCATGCTGGAATAATTGAAATTTACTTGATCTGCTTTTCATTTTAATAGATATGAGGAATGTAAAGAGAAACTGGTGCCATTTTTGAAGAAAGTTGGCTTCAATCCCAAAAAGGATATTCATTTCATGCCCTGCTCAGGACTGACTGGAGCAAACCTTAAAGAACAGTCAGAATTCTGTCCTTGGTATATGTATGTATCTTGAATTGAACAACTTGGATATTTGCTATATTTCAATAAAAGTAAATGCTAGAGTGAAGAAGTATAGCATGGTATGTTGTAGCTGTGTTCTGAAGTGCTTGGGGAAATACAATCAGGGCATCAAGAACACAGCCATGCAATGAGCCAAATAAAAGCATTTTCTAACTGCAGAAGATTAAAGTTAGCAAACTGTAATAGTATTAGCAGTATTCTTTGCCTTTGTGAGTTTGTGCTATACTAGCCCTTGAATTTTCCAGTGATGCTGCAGTTGACATGTTGCTAGAATGAGTAATTGTTTGATGTGAACAGTTTGCTTGAAGCTGTGTTATAATTAGTGACAAGCCATGTCTCTCACTGGATGTCATGTTTTCCAATATTGTTCATGGCAGTTAAAAAGTATTCATGAAAATAGTGTTTGGACCTAGCTTATGGTTTTTTGTATTTCCAAAGCATATTGCACATCTAGCAAGATTCCCAAAGGAATAACTTGTGTAAAATATGCCTGTAACGTAACTTAAAAACTGCATGCATTTCCTGGGTATTAACTTGTTAGCTAGGGTAAAGTGGACACTAATGATGGGATGTTATGATAGATTTAATTCTTAGAGGTCACTGTTCTTAATGATGACAGAACAAAAATCATTCCTTTTGTTGGACTGCATTTATCCATTCTGAGTAATTTTTAAATAGAAAGGTGCTCACGAAATTGAACAAATGCCTTCTGCTCTTCTAGTGGATTACCATTTATTCCATACCTGGATAATTTGCCAAACTTCAACCGTTCAGTTGATGGACCAATCAGGCTGCCAATTGTGGATAAATATAAGGTACAAATTAAAATAACAGGATTGAAAGTATAAATGGACTGTTTTCAGAAAGCAGTAAATGGACTATTTACTGTATTTTTAGAGGGTATCTTTTTTTTTCTTTGATATGTCTACATTTCCAACTGTAGAATAGGGGTGGCGAGGGGAAGTAAATAATTTTGGCATTATATAAGACTCTTAAAATCTGTAAAATCTTTCATGAGAACAGTTTCCAAAACATTAAGTATAGCAGTGCTACATATCCTCATAGGGTTAAGAAATCATACTTAGAGTTAAATCATAAATAGAGCAGACTCTTTAGAAAAATGTTTTCAATTTTTATGTAATAATTTCTTTCTGTTAAGGATATGGGCACTGTGGTCCTTGGGAAGCTGGAGTCGGGCTCTATTTGCAAAGGACAACAGCTTGTGATGATGCCAAACAAGGTATGGTAAGGTTTAGATATTAAAAAATGTTACTACCCTAAAGAAGAGCTTGATTCTTAAAGATATTCATTACTTTAAATCAGAAAGTTTTCTGTTGCTCAGATGAACACAACACAGCTTTCATGTTTTACATGGGTGATGTTTCGGGAGGGGGGAGGGTTGTATAGCTTACTTCCTTAGCATTCAGAACTCATGTTGTCTCTCCTTAGTAAGCTCAATTGCTGGGCTACAAATAAATACAGTCCAAATAAACTGTGATGTACTTTGCATTTGTACAGTTGGCCCACAAAACTTTTTTCCTGCTGTGGGTTAATATTGCTCAAAACTTTCCTTCTTTTTTCCCTTTTGTTTTGTTCTTTTTTTTTTTCTTTTCCCTTCCCCAAAGGGCAATAGGAAAAAATTTAAAGGATGCAAACAGTACACAGTGTGTTCCGATGAAAGACCTAAAGTTTGCTTTAGTTAAGAATAGGTTGTTTGTGCAGGTAGGTAGCTGTTCCATAATATAAGATCACTATTTGGAAACATTGTGCTGCCCTGAAGAATGTGAAAATATAAAAATGAAGGATGTGAAAACATAGTTGGGGAGAGGCAGTGGATGAGAACAGTGTACTCAACTAATGGTGGTGGTTGTTTCCATTGGTTTCTTACAAAAAGGGTTTGGAAATATTGTTCTTATCTGTTCATGTCATCTTGATTTAAGCTGACACACTTTTCCCAATGCTGTAGGTAGAGATAGTTTCCTAGAAAATGTATCAATACTCAAATGTACAATAAATATACAGCTTACTGAAAGTTGGTATTTTCTAATCAAAATATGTTAATTAGATTGTCTTCCATGTCACCTTTCTCAAGAGCTGCTGAAAGTTGAAACTAAACTTAGACAGTTTGAGATTATGCTTTTCAATTTTTAAGATAATTTAACAGACTGGCTTTTTATAAAACTGCTTGACACGCATCTGACACCCATGTTATTTTGGGGTTGATTAGGAGAAATTAATAAAGTGTAAATGGCTTTAACTAAACCATTATAGAATTTGTCTTCAGTAAATACCCAGTGCTTTTGGTGACACACTTTTTTTATGACTTTGGCAGCTAACGAGGATTGAACTAAAACTTCAGGAAGTCAGAACAATAGACCTCTTTCTGAAACTACTCCTTTTTTAACTTCTCTGCCTTTCCAATATTTATTTTCTGTTGGTCTCTAGCACTGTGTAAAGGTACAAAAATCAGAAGAGAGGGTACAACACATAGGAACATTAGGAAATACATTTTGGTGTTTGCTTGGAGAGCGTTATTAATACACATTTGGTATTTTTATCATCTTCTCCAGGAAATCTTGTAGAATGTTGGGATTCTAGGATTTCCTGGATTGCATTAATATTCAGACTTACATTTTGAATGTAACGAGTCTATACAACAATGTGGCTTTTGCATTCTTCTTAGATAATATGAATTCATTGTATCTCTCATCTCTTTTAAGTCTTAAACTCATTTCACTTTGAGAAATAGTGGATATTTTTTGAAATTTGCTTTCCATTGAATATATACTATAGAATTCTATTAAAATATATTTGATTAAATATGCTATTTTAAATTTTAGTAACTCATCATTCAAATATTTTAAATGTTCTGAAGCTTGCAGAACCGAATATAATTAATGTAAACTGTAATGGAATTATTTATTGGAATCCTGTTGTATTAAAATGATTTTGTACCAGACTAAAATATTCACAATAGAAAACTGCATTTTTGCTTTCTTTAAGCACAATGTGGAAGTTCTTGGAATCCTTTCTGATGATGTAGAAACCGATTCAGTAGCCCCAGGTGAAAATCTGAAGATCAGACTGAAGGGAATTGAAGAGGAAGAGATCCTTCCAGGATTTATTCTCTGTGATCCCAACAATCTCTGTCATTCTGGACGCACGTTTGATGCCCAGGTAGAATAACTAGCATTTAATTGCTGTATAGATGGGTAAAAAGCATTAAAATACTTTGCTTGTGTTTCACCCAATCTAAACTTCAGTAGTTTGAAGTTTCAGTTCAGCTTTCTTATTCATGATCATATCTCTAAACTGACAATAACATACATACCTAACACTGACATCATTAATTTGAGTTTTTAAAATATTGTTTGTTTTGAATATAACTTCTTAATGAAGTTTTAGATACCTATAATCATGAAAGCAAGATCTTGTCAGGCCTATTTTTCAATCTTACACTTTCATATTATAAACAACTTAGTCGCTTATAAATTGTTTCTTTCACAAAAATTTGTTGTGTGTGTATTGTTCAACTATACATTTTAATATAGTTCTGTATTTGGTTATTCTCTGCTCTTTTATAATTGAAATGAGGAAAAATGCACTTATTTTTAATTGTTTTACAGATAGTGATAATTGAGCACAAATCCATTATCTGCCCAGGTTATAATGCTGTGCTGCACATTCACACCTGTATTGAAGAAGTTGAGATAACAGTAAGTGTCCTTTTAAGTTGTGATGTGAATATAGACAATCCACTTGTTGGGGTGAGGAGTTCTGTAATGACATACATCTGTAGAGCAACAAATGCAACAATGCTCCAGCCTTGAATGGAATCTTTGGTCAGTACTGTAATACAGCCAAAAATGGCTGTAACTGTTAGCATAAGCCTTCTGAAAAGTGTGGTAAGTCATGATTGACTCTCTTATGCAGTAAATCTTAGAAGTTGGGGTTTTTTTTATTTATTTCTAAGTATTTTCTTTCTTAGACCACTTCAGTTTTGTTCGTAAAGAAAAAATAATCCTTATTTTAGTACTCACAGCTATTAATTTTTTTTCTTATACAGGCCTTAATCTGCTTGGTAGACAAAAAAACAGGAGAAAAAAGTAAGACACGGCCCCGTTTTGTGAAACAAGATCAAGTATGCATTGCCCGTTTAAGGACAGCAGGAACTATCTGTCTTGAGACATTCAAAGATTTCCCTCAGATGGGTCGCTTTACCTTAAGAGATGAGGGTAAGACTGCTTGATCAACAGTTAATAACTGCTGCCAAAATACGGTTATTTGAAATAGGAGATCATGCATGGCAATGAGGTATTAAAATGCTGATATCTAGTGGAAATCACTATCTGGGTTAACAATGGAAACGTAAATCTAAGCAAATTGTTGTCATTGTGCAGAGTTCTTGCTAGTAACAAGTGTGTGTTATTTTAGAGGAATAATGTACAGAAATGTGCACTGTGAAACAAAAGGTTGAATTTGAAAAATTACCAGCCCTGTTTTCTTAATGCATCCTGGAATGTCCACCTACAATATGAATACCATAGTTTCTCTATTTAAAGTTAGAAAAGATAAGGGGAGTTGTATGTTGGCCTTTAACTCATGCTCACCCTGGTAAAAATCATAGATTTGTGGGACGTATTTAAAATAAATTATCTTTAAAAGCAGTAAAAAGATCTAGTAGAATGATTCTGCCTTGCCTTCTCCTTAGATGAATACAGAGCAGGCTTTCCACAATCCACATTGTATTCTTTACTGTGAGAATAGCAGTTTTATTATTTTTAAGATTTTATTGTGCTTTTAAAATAAAAATACACTGGTGCTTTCATTCTACAATACATCAATTTATTCTCTGTATTATTTCTAATACTCTGGAGAGCCTGTATTTTGGGGGAAAGTTTTTTCATGTTCTTAGAGACTTACACATTCTTTTCACAATATATGTAACTCATTCTTTTCACAATATATGTAACTCTACTGTTTGTCTCCTTGGTTTAGGTAAGACCATTGCAATTGGAAAAGTTCTGAAACTGGTTCCAGAGAAGGACTAAGCATTTTTCTCAATGACCCCCGCACAATACTGTGAGGAAAATCGACTCTGCAAAAGCCTCTACTTCACACCGCCTTCTTATTTTCTGCCCATTGATAAACTTCTCCCCATATTTTGCAAAGACAAATTTCACAGCAAAGGTCCACATTATGTCAGCTTTCTCATATTGAGAGCTCTGCTATGCCACTGTTGAATTTTCCCAAAAAGAAATTTTTTTTTCCTCCCAAATTCTGCTTCCTTGGAAAGATTCGGCAATAGCTTTGTAAGTGATGTGGACATAATTGCCTATAATTATGAAAATCTAAAGGATTTTTAATGTTTAATTTCCCCCAGCATATATATTAAGACCTCTTTTTTCCAGGCAGATCATTCAGAGTGTGCGAGTGTGTGTGCACATGTTACAAAGATGACTACCATGTTAATAAACTATTCAATTTGAAATCTTTTTCGGTATTTGAATTGCTTTTGAATAATGTTTTTTATCCGGATGTAACGCAGTTGCATTAGCTTTTTAACTTTCCAGTAACCTAGATATTTGGTTACCTGGACTTTTCTAAACTCAGCCTCCCCACACACACAGTTTTAAATGAGGCAATTGGGCACTCAATCAAGTTTGTATTCAAATAATTAGGTTTGCCCCTTCCCTTTGTTGAATGCATTCTTAAAATTAAAAAACATTCATGCAGATGTGGCACCTTCATTAGCTTTACATTTGTTAATATCTTCAGCAAATTTAGGTTGACTTAACATCATTACTAGACACAGTAAGTCAATTTTGAAGGCTAGAACTACATATTGTGTCTTTATAAAAATTCAGCATTATTAAACTCTTAACTGCAGAAAATGCTAACAACCAGTAAATCAGTGAAACTTGCAAAAATAAGAGAATTTGTGGCAATAGTGCCTATTAGTATTTATAAGAGCTGCATTTTGTGGAAGAACTGGGCCAATTAAAAAGTGCCGGTTATGTAAGTTACTCAGTTCACCCTGTCTTTAATTTAGAGGACTGGATAATCCTTGCTGTTTTAAAGATCAGTCTGAACTGAGAGGGAGAGAGACTATTTAAATCCGTAAGAGTTTGCACATACTGAAATATGGGAGGGTCAGAATCAAGCACAGTCTGTAAATTTTTGCATATCAAAAAGCAATGTAAGCTTATGAGGACCAGTGAAGTTTTTCTTGAGACATTAAAGCAAAACTGGTTCAAAATAAAGCTTACTCAGTACAACTTGAAGGAGCTGTATAATAAAACCCTATTTAGCTGCACTTTGAAAGTGGACTGTCTACAATTGCTATCCTGATTCTAACAATTAGGATGAAGGCTAACGGAGTTTTTTTCGTTTCCCAGAGTATTAGTAATAAGTATTAAAAGGTATCTTCAGAGCTTCTTCAGAATGTCTTAAACTAAACATTTTCAGTTGTACAGTTGTGGCGAGCCCATCTCCTCCCCCAAAAGTTTACAGTCTAGTGACTGTATCTGAATTCACAGACAACTCAAAACTGAAACAGATTGACCTTTTTTGGTTTCTTTTGTTTTGTTTTGTTTGTTTCTTTGTAACTGTGGAACTCCCATTCATTTCACTTACAGCTACATTGTATGGACAGAAGAAGTTATTGTCCTTCAGTTTCATATGACTACACTTGTAGCTACCGTAATGCATGGAATTTAAATAAATTTTATTATGTCTGCAAATCTCTGGGCTTCTATTTTTTTGGTAAATCAGAGTTCAAAAGTAACTTTTTTTTTTCCTACGAAGTGAACAAAACCCACAGTTCCTTGGATCTTAAACTAATGAAGAAATTAAAAGCCAAGGAAACTTACTGTCTTGTTCATATTCTGGATTGACTTAAGATTTCCACATATCTGACTGCTTTCTTGAAGTAAGCTCGTGGATTTGAAATTTGCAAAGACCATTACTGGAAAATACTTACAGTTAGATTCCTAAATTGTTAGAACTTTTAAAGCTTTTTTTTAAAGCATTGAAATGCATCTCAAGACTACATGATGCTCCAGTAGAATTTTTCCAATTTTAGGCAAACTTATTGAGAGATTCTAAAACCTCATTATTTTGAGGCTGGACTGAGTATCTATTACTAAACTGAAAAATCATCTGGTGGGTTGAAATACCAGCAGATAGAAAGTCTGAGCTTTCCCATTACTCATCCCATCTAGTGCATTTCATTACCATTTCCACAAATCCAATTAATGTCACCTTGTCTGTAAAGGGAGGCTAAATTATTTCAACTTCACTAACAGAACCTACGTTATACAATTAAAGATATTGCTAACCTATAGGATTTTTTTATTTGGGCATAAAATATTTGCATTCTATAACAGACATACTGGTATGAATATGTAAGGCATAAATCTACACAAATCAGCTGCATTTTGGGTAGAAGAGCTGAAAGTACGTTATATTTGAATAGTCCTCAGGTTACATCTCATCTTTTTCATTTCATCTCCATTCTACATTTTATAGTCCCATTTTTACTACTATTGAGTACAGCTAAATCTAGATGAGAAAGGAGAAAATAAGGTAATGTGGCTTTGAAATAAATACTATTTGCTGATTCACTGATGTAATAAACTTTTTTAAATGACCATTTTGAATACTTCCTTTTGTGAAAATGTGGTATGCTGCTTTGAAGGTGAAAAAAATAAAGGAGTTGTGCAACCACAACAGTTGAAAGGAAGGAAAAAAAAAGGGGGGGGGGGATAGAAATTGGATTGAAGCTACAGGAACCCTAGGAGCACTGCCAGTGTAACTGTGCTAGCATATGATACTGGCAGAGTATTCCTGGGTCCTGGCATGGATGTAACTCATACCAGCAAAACTGTGAGCGTGTTTTTGCAGAAAGGAGGGATTTGGGGGTTCCCCCCCCCCCCCAGTATAATGGCATTTACAACAGTCTGTATGTGCAGTGTGGTACTGATGAGGATCACACCTCTTCTCTCTGATTGTTGGCCAAAGTTTGTAGTGTAGATATGGCTTAAGTGTATAGCCATGATGTAACTTATAAAAACATAAATTATAATTCTATAAATTAAGACCTTGTACGTCCTTGAACTGAAAGCCTTGGTATATGTAACAATAATTAAATGTTTAAAAAAAAAAACGAATGTGCAGCAGTACTAATTATTTTGCAGCAGGAAAACAATTACTTGTTTCTGCAAGTTGCAAGAAGTAAAGCACACTAAATGGAGGAATGGGTACACCAATCAGTTGACTAACATTGCCATCAACTACCTACTTGAAACCATGCCAGCTACCTTGGTCATCTTTGCAGATAATCGGGAACTGATACACAAACATGATGGCACTGGTTTCCTGAGACACTTATTCTGGTAGTAAATTGTTTTCTTGAACAACAAGCTATTGATGATGGTGTAATAGTGTTTTAAGAAAAATGGCTGCTTTAAGGAGGTTTATCCACGGGGATATTTGCTGGTCATGAGTTTTATGCCCCTCTGCAGATTTTTTTTCAGTGGCATAAGAAGTCCAGTGAAAATTGCTCAATGAAGAACCTCTGTTTCAGACTACTTATGGCACCAGTCCATATATTAAAAACTATGTTAATTATGAGAAATGTGTTTTTATAAGTGTTTATTACTGAATATTACCTAAGAAAAAAAGATTGTTTCAATGTCCCAAGTATTTGATTCTGTATTACTCTGGCTTTTTGGTTCTTAATGCAGACTGTTTAAATGATGATGTTAAAGCAGATGAAATGTACTCCAGACAAGACTGTTTTCTTCCTGAATTGATACTTAAAGGCTCTTACTTATTCTGCTGTTTTTGTATACGCTATAGAGGATTTGGTAAAGAAAAATATACCAACAAAACTGGAGTTGCTACTGAAGATTTTATACTGTGAACCTGTTTCTTTCCTTGTGTTTATTTTAACGCACTATAAACCTGACAACATATTTCTTTTCCTCTGAAGAAATGCTAGAAAGGAGTCTAGTCTTAATATAAAATGGAAATTTATGCTAACAAACCCAAAATCTGTTGAGTGTGTATATATAACTTTTAATAATACATACCCTTTCATTGGCTTGCCTTCCCAAAAAGTCTCAACTTCCAATGTAAAATTGGATTTTTCTACATCTCCCCTCAGTTACATACACCTAAAAAAGTCCACACATTTCTGAGTAAGATTTATAGGAGATATGACAGACTAACTGTTGGATGAAAAAAGGTACTTCAGGCTGTGTTCCTGTCATCTGTTGAGCCTATAGAACTGCTGATAGGCAAAGGATTATAACAAGAAAACTTTGCAGCTTGTGTCACAAAGACAGGTGCCTCTGTTCTTCTGAGAAAGTGGTCTTTGAATAAGTGAATAACTTGCACTGTAAGCATCCATCTGTCTGACAGTTAATTAGATTATAGCTAGAGGCTTACACTAGGATTGCAAAGGAACACAATCTAAAGAAAACTAGCGCTTGAACTCCAGATTTAGCAGGGAGATTCCCTTCTGAGGTCTCTTTTGTAAGGGACTTCTTACTCCTGGTTTAATTTCTGCATACTCTTTGTGCTAGTTTTGTTGCAAGAAGTACAAATATAGAGACCTGGGATTTTGACATATGCCATCAAATAATCTGGAGGAACACAAACCTGGTACTGGAACTTTTGGGATGCACACTAAAGGAATAATCTTAAACCTCAAAGACCTGTTTACAGCAGAAACAATTGCTATGTGTACATCCCTTTTGCTAGGAGAAAGTATAAAATTAGGGATATATATATAGAAATATTCTCTTAAATAAGTAATGAGGTAGAATGGCTTGCAATTATGTCATTTTAAATCTTAGCATTTAAATAGGTGTGACAAATGGCTTAAGGAAACATACATGCTTTCATAATCAAAGTTAAATTGAGGGCTACAGCAGAATATGTTTAGTGTATAGCAATAACACTGATGAAAGTAACAAATCTAATTTCCCTTGTAATTAATTTGTGAACTTGCTAAATTAAAAGCACACTCTTTATAGTTTATATTCATTGCATGCTGTATTAAGCAGAAATATTTCTTATCCAGAGATGAACTTATTTTTCCAAGACAGCTCTATTAGCTATGTCAAACACCTTTCAAGAGAAAATGTATTGTCAAAGTCAAACACCTTTCAAGAGAAAATGATCATACTAAGTCGGCACACCTAGTAAAATTTAGTCTTGTCAGATTTAAAATGTTGCAGAAAAATGTACTTGGATGAGACCAATATATGAAAAAATTTGAATTTGAGTCACTAAAAATAGTCCCTTTAGTTTTATCCTATTAATGCTATGCTGACCCAGTACAGTCAGGCTTCAAACATACTGTTCAATCATACCTTACAAGACTAGCCTGGCTTATTTTCAGAGAGATGTCCCAGTCATCTGACTTTTTCTGTTTTGTTTTAACAGTCACAGTAATATGTTGATGTTTTACTAAAACATGGCTGCTCTAAAATATGCAATGCCTATGCAGAGATAGGAGCACGGCTAATACAATTATCAGATTATAAAACACCACCGCTAGTATCATATGCATAAGTTCTTCTGGTGCTAAAAAGATTTTAATGAGTCTGCCCTATCTGGCTACTCAACATGTTCCTAGCCTTTCAGTAATTAATCAATACTTCATATGACTACATGGCAACAAAGGATAGCTTTTCTTTTTCTTAGACAGTTTCATATTTTTTGTTCATTTGTACAAATCACAAAACAGAAAATTAAAACTTCCATTTTCCAGGGGTTTTTTTCACTCTAAGTCTGGGGAAGTCTTGAAGCCATCAACTATTCCACTGTTGTTCCACGAACATTACCAGCAGAATGAAAACATAAATCATTACATAAAGCAGCTTGTCAAGAGACTAGGGTATTTTAATCCCTTTCTCTTTGTACTGGCACACTGACAGAGTGACAAATTTTTTTTGAAGACGTCTGATGAGAAGGAATAAAGCCATAACTAGAAAGGCAAAGAAGAGGAAAAAATCTAGAGGAGAAGAGTGAATGACTAAGACCCCCAATTTCATGTGTATTTAACCCCTGGTTATGCATAGCTGCGTTATCCAGGTGGCAGCTTATCTGTGTGATGAATGCAGACAGCCCAAAGCTGCCAGGGCGCACACAGCGCTGTGAGAATGAGGCCAAAATAGTTCCAGGCTAGATTTGATCTCAAAACAATGTTCTTATCCAGTGTGGAACTGGATGGAATAAGCATCCCACAATTAAGCTACTTCCACATAGTCAGTCAATGCATTTCTAAACTGAAATGGAGATGCAGCAGTTCCGCCTTTACTATTCACACATAAGGAAGAAATGGTTTGGCATGTGATAATCAGTGATAGCCTCAAATGTAGTGACCCTGAAATAGTGGAGTTCAAGATGCTGAGAGGTGTGTGAGGAAGATGAGTAGCAGAGTACAGCCCCTGGACTTCAGGGGAAAGACTTTGGTTTATTCAGAGAACCAGTAGGCGGGATCCCATGGGAGGCAGCTCTGAAGGACAAAGGAGCTCAGGAAAGTGGCAGCAGGGGAGATGCAGCAGTTCCGCCTTTACTATTCACACATAAGGAAGAAATGGTTTGGCATGTGATAATCAGTGATAGCCTCAAATGTAGTGACCCTGAAATAGTGGAGTTCAAGATGCTGAGAGGTGTGTGAGGAAGATGAGTAGCAGAGTACAGCCCCTGGACTTCAGGGGAAAGACTTTGGTTTATTCAGAGAACCAGTAGGCGGGATCCCATGGGAGGCAGCTCTGAAGGGCAAAGGAGCTCAGGAAAGCTGGCAGCAGGTCTTTAAGGACAACATCCTCCAATCATAAAAACAGTCCCTCCTGGTACTCAGGAAAACAAGTAGATCTATCAGGAGACTGGCTTGGCTAACAGTGAACTTATGATAGCACTCCAGTGCAAAAAGACAGTAATACAGCAGGTAAAATCAGTGACAGGCTGCCTGCAAAGAAGGAATCTAGAAACATTGCTCAGGCATGTAGGAATTGTCTTAGGAGAGTAAAAGCTCACCTACAGTTGAAATGGGCCAGGATGTCAAGGGCAACAAGAAGAGATTCTACTGATACAGTAGTAGCAAACGGCCAAACAAGGACACATGGGGTGGTTGCTGAGTGGGGCAAGTGATTTTGGGTCCAGCTGGGCTGCATTCAAGGGTGCTGAGAGCTGGCTGAAGTCAGAGCAAGACTGTCATCTTTGAAATGAAATTGAGGGAGGGTCCCAATAACTGGAGAAAAGCAAATGTTCCCCCACCTTCAGAAAACACCAAGAGGAGAATCTGGGAGCCACAAACCAGTCATGCTCACTTGGTCCCTGGGAAAACCATGGAACAAGTCCTGTTGGAATACATTTTTGGGCACATGAAAGACGTGCCTGGGAACAATCAGCCCGGATTGACCAACTGCAAATCATCCTGACCAACCTGATTGCTTTTTCTGACAAAATGACTAGATTTGCAGATGAGGGGAAAGGAGTAGATGGCATTCACAACTTTAGCACAGCTTTCAACAGCCTCCCACAATCTTCTTGTATCCTCAACATTATGGTCTGGGTGGGTGGCCAACTGGATGGCTGACAACTGGTTGGACAATGGGGCTCTGAGGGTAGAGACAATTGCTTGTACTCTACCTGAAGGCCAATAGCAAATGGAGGACTGCTGGGATTTATCCTGGGACATGTTCTATTTAACATCTTGATGTGACCATGCTTCAGGTCACTGATAAAAGTCTGCAGATGACATATAACTTGGGGACCAATCAATACCCTTGAGGGCACGGCTCATGTACAGAGGGACCTAGACAGGCTGGAGGGATTAGGCAACATGAACCTTTTGATATTCAACAAAAGCAAATGCAAATCTCCATTTGGGAAGGAGTAGCCCCTTGTGACACACTGGGGTATGACTGGCTGGGGAGTAGCTCTGCTGGAAAGGACCTGGGGGACAGCACGCTAAACAGGAGCCACCTAAACACATTCTCCGGAGGCAGAGGTGGCCAGCAGCATCGCGGGCTGGACCAATACAGCATCACCAGTAGATCAAGGCGAGTACAACAAAAACTTTTTTTCACCGCGAGGACCCTCAAGCATACGAACAGGTTGCCCAGACAGGGAGTGCAGTTTCCCTCCCCGGAGGCTGTGAAGCCCCGACCGGATGCAGCCCTGAGAAACCCGGTCTGTCCTCCAGCCGGCCCTGCTGCCGGAGCAGGCCGGACTAGAAGGCCTCCGGAGCTCTCTCCCAAGCTAAATCAGCCCGTGAACCTGTAACTCGCCGCGAGGGCTGCGCGACCCTCTGGGGCAAAGCTGTCCCCCGAGGCAACGACGGACCCG